TAAAAATGTCAGGTGTCTTACATACTTTTAAAAGATCATCTTCTTTTAAAGTTATATTCGCATTAAAAATTGAGCCTTTTTTACTTATTGTTAGTAAATAATTTTAATGTGGGACTATGATAATTTTTTTAAAAAATATTTTAATTTTGTTTGAATATGAAATATTTTTTTTAATTTAAATAAGACACTTTATTATTTGAACATTTTTCAGCATTTCTTTGACTGAAAAGTGTTTCATAGTAATTGCTAACCATATTTCCCAAAAAAGTAAGAAAATATAATTTTAACTAGGCTCTAAATACGTTGTTTTATTAGTAAAAGAAGGGGGGGGGAGAATAGTTATTTGTGCTTTCTTTAAAAAAGAACTAAGTTAAGTATAATGAATTTGAAAATTGAAATGAAAATTCATAAATTTCATTGTGAGAAATCTCTTTTTGAAGAAAACTTGCAATTTTGTAGCCTTTTCATATTATATATAAACACTCATTTTCATAAAAATTTGGGCACCTAAAAATAAGAGTGGGATTGTTATTTAGCTTGTCATGAAGGTACGTGTCAGGCAGATACGTAAAATATTAGAAATGCAGCGTGATTGCGCAGTATGTAATGCCACCAGAGGGCATTGAACTTTTCGTTCTCCTTGTATTATAAAACTCCTATCGCAGTCTTCTCACAAGCAGATTCAAATCTCAAATGTATTCTTTGAACTGAGGTGGCATTCGTTTCAAAGGTCCTTCATTGAGCCTCATGAAAATTTCTAGAATGGTCAATCCCAAAGCATTCTCGATAATTTCTTGGTAATATCAATTTTTTTTCCAAATTTGTTACTGTAGGCGATAAAGTCGCCAATCTGGTAATCCTGCTCACATCTTTTATGGTAGCCATTATCTTATTTTTCAAGTTCACTCAGGCTGGGAAGCGAACTTTGCCTTTAAAACTCAATTTTCCCTTAAGGAAAGTATTACTGCAGGTAAAATAAAATACATGACATATTTCAATAATTTTTTTTTCAATTGTTTTATCGAATCTTTCCCGCATTCTCCATCTTTTTGCTATCATTTGAACACTCGCTTTCATTCATTAAAGTGTCAGCCCTGTTTATGAAAATAAAAGATAAATTTCGAGTTCAAAGGCGGAAAAGTGTATCAAATATTAATGAATACTGTTTGTGTGTGTGGAATATATATGATTAACAGTAATAATCTTCAAGTCCGATTACCCTGTGCCCTGTAGACTTTTGAATGGTGACTTCATTTTATGAAACAGTCCTCATGAGAACATAAATTGTAATCAAAATAGCAAAATGATCGAGTTAAAGAATTTTCAAGTAAGAATAAATAATATTTCTCCTTAATGGGGTAAGCCATGCATCTCTATAACTCCAGTTTGAAATCTGAGGAAAAGTGTGAGGTTAATGATGATGAATTATGTCTTGAAAATGTGGAAGTCTTGACGTAAAATGAACAACGGAAAGAGCCTACTAACAATAACAAATGATGCTAAACTTGACGGGATTTAAATTGGAAACTTCCTAAAACTGCATTCTATATTCACCCCTTATTTTAAGTAGCTGAAGGGCAAAAGTCAAATATACTTGTCAAGGAATGGTTGCTTTATATTAGTTCGAAATCAACTCGTAGTTCATCACAAAAACATGAATTAAGCACTTTAAATTTAATAAGTGTTCAGTATTTAATGTTCAGCATGCAAACTGATAATACCAGTTTGCATGCTATATTAATAGTATTTTGCTTGATATATCGATAATAAATATCATCATATAAGAAATATATGCTTAAATAAGCTCTTGTATGTATGTACCTTACAATAACAAACCTTATAAACAAATATGTATGTACCTTATGGTTAAGGGAATAAATCCAGTAACGTTATATATAAATTTGTATATTTGTTTATTTGCGTGGAGCGTATACAAAACCACGTCGTTGTTTGTATCGTTTCCAAATTTTATAGGGAGTTTTGTTCATGTTTAAGGGGAGCCATAAGCGTATTTCCACCACAAAAAAAAGTTTTTATTATTTTTCGTAAGCTTTTTTTTTAAAAAATCTCCTTACTTAAGGTATCCCACTGCTTGCGACAACTTTTTATCAAAAAAAACTTTAAGAAATGGAGATATGGGGATTGTTTTGTTGTTGTTTTTAGATTTGTTTAGTGCATTTTAGGAAAAATATGCTAAAATTAAGAAGAGAAAAAGAAATTATTATGACTAAAATGCGAAAAATGGGTAAAAATTTACAAAAAATAACATAAACGCGGCCCATTCTGTACCAAAAGTTTATGAACAAATTTTCAATTCTGTTGCTATGTTATTCATTTTTGAAATGACCTTCAGGATAAGAGATATTTTCATTTTTACAAAAACTAGAGAACTTTATCTTAGTTATTATCTGAAATTGCTTAAAAGAGCAGTGATTATATTAACATAAGGGACAGTAAATTTTGTAATAAAACATTGATTGATAAATCTGAAGGTTAAAACACTTCTACTATATTATACAGAACATACACAAAAAAATTCAACTTATTATTTTCAAAACTTTTTTAGAAATCGCTGGCTTTATTTGAGCATTTAAAAAAAAACACACACACATTTCGAGAAAAATGAGTTTTAAAGTGTGACATCTTGCTTAAAGTAATGGCATCTGCTTTTACTTAAATACTTGTAGTTTTTGTTCTATTGAACGGAAAATAATAAACTAGGTATTTTTATAAAGCTAATAAGATGACCTATAAAATAAAATCATAAAAAATTGTTAACTTTTGACAAAATTCACAATTTTAGGGTAGTCGGATACTTTAAGAAAGAGTGTGTGTGTATATATGTACTAAGTCTCCAAATGCCGTGATATGCAGCTAATAATGAAAAACCGCTACCACTCATGTTTATGAAGCGATTGCTGCATCTGGCGACATATTTTGATTTGGTAACGTTAAAGGAAGGGTCTTGCAAAAATCGACACCCAAAAAAGTTAAAAGGTTTTTAAAATTAAACAAAAATTCCTGCTTTTTGAACTATTAGATTTGCAGAGTTCACTTTCTTTTCTGCCCAAGGTAGACCGAACTCACACAATATTTACTTAGAGTTAAATTTTGGTAAACATGTTTCTTTTGTTGAAGAAAAAAATCCATTTAAATGTTAATTTCATATGTTAAAATTTAGATATCAATAACTTAAATAATACATATATAATCATACGTTGTGATGGAATATCCAACGAAGCGTATGGATAACAGTTAGTTATAAATAATTAACAATGTAGTTCAGTCAATTTGATTTTATATATATATATATATATATATATATACAAGCATAATTAGGCATAATTTACACAATTCAATTAAACTTCAACTCCTATGTAGTTTTTATGTGTCTATATATTGCTATAATCTGTCGTTGTAGATATTAGTAGAATTGAAAAAAGATATGACCTAAAGAAATACTTTCTTATATTTTCGGATTATAATAACAGCTCCAAAAGTTCTGTTTTTTTACATTTTATCATATCTATTCTTAAATGATAATGTTTGAAATCACGACGGTCATTTCATAAATGCATGCGTAATAGCTCTTGCTAAATTCGTTGAAAATCATTACACTCATCAAGCTTCTTTGGTAAATCTTGATAAATTTTACATATTATTTACTTTAACCTATTTACTTAGTTATTATTGATAATCACCGGTTATATAATAAATTATAACCAATTCATCACGTTGATTATAACATATATTCTTTACTGTTACCTATCGATGTACATGAATTAATCGCCATCGAAGTTACATTGATTCGGCGTACAACTGATATTTGTTGCGAATGTATTCCTGATTTTTTAAATTATCTTATACTATTTTCGCCAACTCCCTATCCTCCGCTTTTTCTTTTCATCTCTTGTGCTTACGTGGGAAATTAACTGTGTTTTTAATAAATGCTTTTCTAATTTTAAAAGATTTGTTCTCTTGTTTTTGGGATTCAATATTTAAAGAGCCCCTATGCACAAAAGCTATTAATATTTAATTCTGTTTGTTTATTTTTTTGTAATTACATTAAAATAATGAAAATTATTTTTCTTTATTTGGTAATAGATTCGGGAAATTGTTCTTTAGTTTATCCTTCTGTTACACGAGTAATCAATAATTATCAAAATGGCGCTGTCAGATTTCACTTTTAAAATGCTCTCTTTCAACTACTTTCTTCTGAACTGATACAAAGTTCCCCCATCAATCATAAAAGTTGTCGAAGAATTGCTGGAATTCATTTTTGAAGGATGTAGGAGATCTTTTTTCCCCATTTAATAGGATCTACTCTGTTGCTGGACAACCGCCTCTTCGCAGTCATCTCGCAATTTTTTCCCTCTCTTTTCCCCTCTCAACTTTATAGACTTACCTGAACATGGAAAAGAAGAAAAAAACATTCATAGTTTCTGAATTTTTTTTTTTCTTTTGCCTGTATGTCAATGAGCATGCGTTATTTAGATACACTTTAAAATAACATACAGAAGTTTATTCAAAAACAGTTCAATAGAATTTTTTTTAAAAAAATTAAACCTTTAAGCAAAGCTCTGACGTGGAATACATTCGAAACTTCCATAAATTTACTACCAAGAAAAGAGCTTCCACATCGTAAAATAAAATCCAAACTGCCTTAAGGATGCAAAAAAAGAATCTTACTTAAAACAAGTAATATATAAAACAAAAGTTCGAGTCAATTCTTACTTTGGTCAACAAAGAAAAACTTTTTAGTTACTTTTTATTAAATAGTTTCAATTAATATAAATATGTATATACATATGACAGAAATCACAATATTAAGTGAAAAAATAGAAAGCGATTTTCCTTGCAATTTTCCATTTTCATTTCTATATATGTGGTGTTGGACTATTTTTTTTTTGTTTGTTGCTATTTATTCATTCCTTAAATTTAAGTATTCTAAAAAATAGTACTGTGTAAAAAAAAAAAAATCACATTCTCAGAAATTAGGCCATCCCAAGTGAAATTCGAATCCACGAACTTTGGATTCAAAGGTTCAATGCGCTATCCATTGCGCTACAAGGACACAACGAACGATTTTTTTTTCTATATATGCTGTAGGACTATTATTATTGTTTGTTATTGTTTATTCATTTTTTAATATAATTAATGAATTAATATTTAAAAACACTGTATTAACATCAAGTGTCATCCACTACAAGTTTAAAAAATGTATTTGTACTTGAATCGATGAAAGAACGTATTCTATTAACGATTGAAAATTTGAACAAAATATGTAAGAGAACTAATAGTAGAAATGGAAAAAGCTATACACTCCGTGTTAAAAAAAATTGCAACAAGTTTAGTTGTTCATGCAATAGAGGTCAATTGTCTAAAAATGTGAGCATAATTTGCCCCTGCATTCTAACTTCTTTTTAAATTTCTGTTCTAAAATAAATTGAGGTAATGCATCAATTGACAGGTTCCAAAGTTTTCGTTTGCTTCGTATATGTTATTTAAATTCATTAAAAAAGAATTATATAACAAAAAATCAAATTAAAATGTTCCATAAAAGAATATCACGAAAAAGAATTACAGTAAATCGCTACACATTTTATATCTCAGCATAATTTGTTAAGTATATTCTTTTTTTATCGCACGTAATTTAAACAGTTCTTACAAAAACTCACTTAAAAATCTAATAATGAAAGGGAAATAAGGAATTTAATAATAAATCTCTGTGATAAAATTATGGCTGTCGCTATCAAAATAGTGTATTATTATATGCGAAAATAAACTCAGATATATATAATACATATTTTTATCATATACATTCAATAGCTGTTTAAGCTATAAAAATAAATCTGGGTTATTGTTTTGTATTTAATGTAATAAGAAAAATAGTATATATGTATATGCGTATGTGTTCACTCAATTTATGAATAAATGTACCATAGGAATTATATGGCATCGTTACCAAGACATTTACAAATAAAACAATTTTCAAGGATATAATTATTAAAATCTCAAAATACATTGTGTTGTATTTGAACAAGTAGACTGTGGAATTACTTTTTGAACGAAAATCCTACATAATGAAGTTCCAAATAATAATATTACAATAATAATGAATAAAAAATAGAACATTTAATGCAAACATACGATATATTACTTTTTACAAACATTACATGTTGCAAATGAGATGGACAATAGGCTTATTTGTAGCTGAGAGTGGCTACAAATTAGGATTACAAAATGGTTTCTGTAAGTAGGTTCATACAAAAGTGATACTAAGCCTAATTGGAATATCATTTATCACTATTACAAGTAAAAAAACAATTTGATTATATTTCACTTTTGCAGAAAAAAAATAATATATAGAGCCAAAAAAAAAGACAAAATAGCTTCAAGGTCTCGAGAGTAAAATGGTGGCCTCACAATCGACTTAAAAATTATAAATAATTTACCCCTTGTTTCATCCATATTTTTAGAAAGAGAGTTTCTGAGATTAGATCAAAAGTAAACACACATCACTGAATGTGTAAAACTAATTATTATTCTCCCTTGAATTTGACTTCAATCCAATAGAAACTTAAATCGGTACTTTTTTGTCGTTGTAAATATTTAAATGAAATTTACGGTACAAGCAGACTTGATATATGAAACAAATAACGTCGCAACACACACATATATTGCTATATATATAAAAGAACATTATAACTCTCAGAAAAAATTTTACCAGAATTTTATTTTGCGTCTTCCACATTTTTAAAAAAAATCCACTTGTGTAAAGAAAAAAAATGAGTCTTTTTAAACCTGTGTTTTAAAGGAAAATTTAAGAGCTCTTTAATGCAGTGCTTCTCTCTCATACTTTCAATATTCGCGAACAAATACTCAATCCTAATTTTCATCGCTCCCTCCCTTCCATACAATAGCAATGTATTGAATTCAGTAATACTATACTTTGACGCTAAAGCTACCCCTCTCTATTATTTAACCTCTTAAGTGAGAGCAGCGTATATAAAAGTCTCGCTCAGCCAAAACATTAATTTTCTGAACGTATATATACGTCTTTCCGCAGTACGATCTTTTCTGTGCAATGCTATCCCTAACATTATTCCGAAGACTTTGGAATGCAATAAAAAGACTTCAAGACAAGTGCTTGCGAAGGAATTACTTCGGAATTTCACACACACAGGATTTGCTTCCCCCCTCCTAAAAAAACATCACATTCATGTGTCTACGTGGAAAATGATGGCATTGGGGAGCGAATCGCGTAACTTTTAATCGGTGTTAAGGTATTAATTATAAACTGTACAAATTATCAAGATGAGTGTTAATACAAGCTCATGGAGTCACTGGTAATTATCAAACTTGTTCTTAACTGAGTATTGTTGAACTAATTATAAAATACAGTTTGTTGTGACAGAGTACTGTTACATTTATAAGTGTTATTATACCAGTGTAAATGTATTTTGTTTTTTATTACGTCAGAATGTATTTTGTGCTTGCTACTTTTAGTAAATTAATACTTTTTTAAATAATCTTTTGTTTTCGACTTTTCAATATGCTCACGCCCCCCTCGTAGAGTTATCACGCCCCCCCCCTATAGGGGCGCGCCCCACAGTTTGAGAAACGCTGCTTTAAGAGATAAGAGAAATTTGAAAATTTAACTGACACGAAACAAAAAAAAACACACAGAACACTGTTAATCAAATACTATCATTTATATAATTAATTTTTCATTCAATCTACTCCGTCTTCGAAACACGTAATCATTATAAGTAACTCGAGAAAAGGATTATGTTAAAAATATATTTTAATCTTGTGTCAATTCTTAAGACTTAAGGATACTTATTTCCTGTACTGACATTGTCTCAGGATATTGAATTTCAAATTCTCTTTTCAACTCTTAAATTAGCTTTATAAAGCCTTTCAGCAATTCGTGTTTAGGCCTTCAATCCCCGTTAGCAAACCTTATTTTCCTCTTTGGAATTGATTTCTGCAGATGTAAACAGAGATCCGTTTAATGGATTATTTGGATTGTATCAGATGTAAGAAGCCTCGTACGACATTCTAATTTAGTCAGTTTCTACCGATTTTAATTTATTCTATTCATCCTATATCAATACAATTTAAAGTATCCAACTACCCTAAAATTACGATTTTTTTCAAAAATTGACAAATTTTTTTATGATTTTATTTTATACGCCAACTTAATAGCTTTAAAAAAGTACCAAGTTTTTTTATTTTCCATTCACTAGTACAAAAACTACAACTATTTTAGTAAAAGCAGCTGCCATAACACAAGATGTCAAACTTTAAAATGCGTTGTACTCGAAATATTTTTCTATTCGAGAAGCTCAAATAAGGATAGAGATTTCTCATAAAGTTTTGAAAATAATTTGCTGAAATTTTTTGTGCATGTTCTGTATAACAGTAGAAGTGTTTTAAACTTTCAGATTTATTAATCACTGTTTTATTACAAAATTTACAGTCTCTTATGTGAATATAATCACTGTTTTTTAAGCAATTTCCTATAATAACTAAGATAAAGTGCTCTAGTTTTTGTAAAAAATAAATATATCTTTTATCATACGGATCATTTCAAAAAGGGAGAGAAAAGTAATATATCAAATTTGAAAAATTGAGAATTTGTTCATAAACTTTTTGTACAGAGTGACTCCGTTTATGTAATTTTTTGTAAATTTGTACCCATTTTTTTTCCCATTTTCGTAGTAATAATTTTATTTTTCTCTTCTTAGTTTAGCCTTTTTTTTATTAAAATGTACTAAATAAATCTAAACCCCCCCCCCCCAAAAAAAAAATCTCCATATCTTCATTTTTTTTAAAGTTGTCGCAAGCAGTCGGATACCGCAAGAAAACATTTCAACAACAATGATTTATAACTTATCTAAAATTATATTCTACTTAAGAAAGAGATCTATTGCACATTTTTAAAAAAGCAACTATCTCTGAAAGTTTATTAAACTATTATAATGTAACCGATATTAAATGAGAAATTCACTTAAGAATATTTTTAAAGAAGCTTTATTAATGAGATTTTAAATTAGTTTATATGAGAATTTGAAATTACTTCCTCAAGAACTTCAATCAAATCAGTTTTATAAAAATAGTTTATTTACTTTTTCTTTGAATTTGAATGATCTAATTAATGTAATTTAATCTCTTAATAACAATTGCAATATCTGCTGCCGAAATATTTTATTTAAATTTCCTTAAAATCCAGGTTTTAACACGCATTTTTAACTCAAAAAATTAAGATCGAAATTTACGGGTGTGCATTATTTGCCGGGTGTAAAAATGATAGCTTTGTAAATAAAATAAATTATAGTTTTAAAAAAAAAACTAAAAAACACGCTTTTATACTGAATTGAACTAAAAAGTAAAAAAATAATTCTTAATATAAGAATAAAATGATGAACGAGAAAATTAATGTCATTGGGGTAAAAAGCGTGGAGTGTTCTATAAAAATATATCAATTGTTATAGTTTCTAACTTCTATTCCGAAATGCTGAATTAGTGTAAAAACGTAGTACAAAGCACCCCACGATCTTACCCCAATGACATTAATTTTCTCCTTCATTATTTTATTCTTATATTAAGAATTATTTTTTACTTTTTAGTTCGATTCAGTATAAAAGCGTGTTTTTTAGTTTTTTTTTTAAAACTATAATTTATTTTTCATTTTTTTAGTTCGACCTACAATAAAGGCGTGTTTTTTAGTTTTTTAAACTATCATTTTTTCATTGTTGGATTTATCCTTGAGTTTGATATTTCGAGCTGGAATTACGTCGCTACTGGAATTAGTCTTGCTCTTCAATGGATATTAATTAATGGACCTAAAGTGTATTTATTCGCTCCGTTTACGGGGCCTCGGATGAGTCCCGTATCATTATATCAGATTCCGTCTCTATAAAACAGGTCAAACAATTAAAAGTTTGTCAAGTTGAAAAGGTTCGAATTAAAAAAAATTAATGTACCATGTTTTTATAACGGACTAAAAAGAAAAAAAAATTCTTCCTGTTTTCTTTTTTTTTTCTTTTTTCACATTTTTATGCATTG